GAAACAGGCAATACTACAAGCCAACGGGCTTTCTCCGCCTGTAAACTGGACATTGGACATCTCTCGTGTTGTGCTATTAGGGAATTTCCATCGTCGGTCTCACATTGTAACGACCTTGGAAATTTGCCATCCCGTTTGAGTGAGTCGTGTTCATTTTTGACTAAAATTTTTGGTTTATGATGTTCTAATTCTTGGGTCTTGGAAATTGTCAGTTAACACTCTCCATAGAATACCCTTTTTCTGTCGACCATTCCGATTCACACAGATCAGGATCACATTTATTAGTCGACGCGGACGAACGGCAGAAGCTGAAGCAGGCATTAGCCGGGCTCCATGAGCGTCGAGCTAATGGTGAACAAGATCTCTTCATCAATAAGTCAATTAGTGGCGCCCATCCTTTCACCCACCTAATTACTGGTGACTTCAATGCCCCGGGTATGGATTGGCTCAGAGCATACTCTTCCGACCTTTCATTTGGTCGTCCTCTTATCGATCTAGTACTAGAAAACTCCTGGACTCAACACGTAGATCAACCTACGAGGTTCTACCCGGGCTAGGCCCCTTCATTGCTAGATCTGATTATAACAAATGAAGAAAATCAGATCGACGTGGTAAATCTTCCACCTCTCGGAAAGAGCGACCACGTAGTCCTGCTATTTGACTACATTACGGACTGGAAAGCCAAAATAGAAGGTCCACAAATGGTCAGATCCTTCAAGCGTACTGATTTGGGTTCCTTAAGAGAGTTTCTTAGGGCACAGTTTAACGGTCTTCCCCTGGACCTGCCCGTAGACAATCTTACACAACATATAGAACAAATCGTCACTTCAGCTGACGAGCTATTCGTCCCCCGAGTTCTCGCACGCTCTAGTTCTAAACCACCTCTCCCTCGGCTCATCCGTAGGCTTTTAGATGAACGGTCTAGACTGTTTGCAAGATACAAGCAAACGGGACTCGAAGCTGAAGGACTAGCCTTCAAAAGGTTCAGGAATATCTGCCGCTCAAATATTAGAGATTGCAAACTGCACACGCAAAGAGCTATACCTGAAAGAGCTCAAAAAAACAGACCGTTCCTCTACAAGTATATTCGTCGACTTCGCGGCACATCTCACCCCCCTCTCACCCTCAAGTTACCAGATGGGACAGAAGTAACTGCCCCTTCACAGATTGTAGGCGAATTTAAAAAGCACTACCAGATCATCTTCAGTTCCACTCCAACCCGGTACTACAGCCCTTTCCATTAAACTCTACGCTCAGCCGTATCACTTTCTCAGTTAGACGTAGAGAAAAAACTACGGAACCTCCATTCCTGCGTTATAAGGCCTGACAAAGTACACCCCAGAATTCCTAAAGAATCGGCGGATGTCTCAGCTAGCCCAAACACCCGACTCTTCCAACGGTGTGTGGATAAGGGGATATTTTCGTATTTTTGGTATCAGTGGCTCGGCTTAGTTAAAAGAGCCTGTGAGCACTACCGGAAGCAGCGATTAGCTTCATCTCGCGTTGTGCCCACCAGGTCTCTGTCTTCTTTTGGGAATCGTTTCTGTTCAGCACTGAGAGTCCTACGAACTGTTGCATTCATTACTTAGGGAGATGCTTCGATGAGTGTCAAGAAGTTTCGGGGGACGTGTGGTAAAAACGATTAACGGCGCGTTTGGTAAAGCCACATGATCTAGTGGTAGATTTATACATGGCGTTACGAATGTGAGCCCACTGGCTTTCGACGTTTGAGGATGACGGATGATGTAGATCAACAGTCAACGTGTTTTGGTAGGCGGTAACAACGTTTGGGTCGGCCAGTTTCATCAAATGGAGTTTTGTCAATCGGCCCCCGCAATCGGATTGGAGAGGCAGACGGTAAAGGACCTTGTGGAATCCGGAGGCTGAAACGAGGTGCGGTACGGTGCTCGAAACCTGTAGGCGCGTTTCGGTAAGGCCGCAAACGTCCATGGCAAGCGTTTACAATGTTCGAGCGAGTGTCACCTGAGCCCCAACCCGCGTAAGCTTTCGAATATTGAAGGAAGCTAATTTCAGCTGCGACCGGAGCGCTAGTGTCGTTTCCTAAATAATCTAAGCGGGTGTTTTTTCTTCAGCATAGAAAACAATTATGTCCGTAGTCCTGCATCCTTATGCATTAATCACCGTAATAGTCACTAAATTCTGTCCATCTGTTAACTCACCTCCCGATCATGGGGCAACGAATTGTGTGATGCACGCGATGCGTTCGTTTGTCCTAGTTTATAGCAGAGTTATGACTAATGAACAGATTTTTTATTTTTTATTACACACTTTAGTGTGAGGAACAACAGACAAGGTAAACCCCATAGTCACGAGGACCTGCTATTCATTGATAGAAACCAATAACCTAAGCCCCTGGACTTGGAGTGGCAAACCGCAAGGCCCCTCTAGGTTACACGTGGTATTGGACCGGACGACAGCAAAGCTGCCTGTCACCAAAGTTGGGTTGCGGTAGCGGGGCCCGACCCTTGGGCGATGAAGTCCAAAGTACGCCGGTGACAGCGACCAAACCACTGCGTCACCACTACCACCACTTATCTGGATTACTTGAGGTATACCTGTATAGTTTTGCGCACTTGTATTCAATCGAAAATACATTAATTGACGTTTGCTTATCGGTTTCCCTATATCCAGTTATGACTTGATATTTGATATTGATCTAATTAATCTTTTTTCCACCGCAGCGTTTCTAAAACTGGCCTCTATACATCATCTAATTGTTGCGAAAAAAGCTTTTCAAAATATGCGCTGGCTGAAGTCCTTCGGGCTGTTTTCCAGCCGTAAGTGGTATTCGTTCAATCAACCCTCATTTTCAGATGTGCGCTTTGTTCGGCGTTCTGTACGGCCGTATCTAAGAGATTTGTATATGCGTCGTCTTGCCCAAGGTCCTGAGCCGTATCGACCGCGCTCTGCTTGGATCGGGTGGAATGGTGATGCTGAAATGACTGCTTTTCTTCATCGTATTGACGAGCAAATTTCAAATGCTAATCTCCAAAAAGCACTCACTGATAGGTGAGTTATTTTGATCCACATTTTCTATGCGACAGATCTTATATTCACATCGACGCACCCCACGCGGAAGGATTCGACGAATCGGCTCAGGAATCCAATGCCTCTTTGGCATTTTCAGGTAAAATCTTTTAACTGAATTTTACAACAAGGACTCCAGAGAATTTTCTCCTGTGTGCAACTTTTACTCCGGAAACTTCTAGTTTGTAATTTCTCAAAGTGAATTAGTTGAATTCGCATTTAACTCTCAGTTACTTGCCTATAGTGGTGTAGAATGAATGTTATTGATTTGACCATCATTGTACAGCGTAATACAGTGAAGCGAACTCCATTGATCACTGTCAAACTCAAATTGCTTACAAGGTAAGTGGTAATGTGTAAGGAGGATAGGGATTGGACTTACTTTTAGGGACGGGAAAAGAAAGCGAACCCCCATGGTCAACACAAAGTACACAGTTCAATTATGCATACATACTATTTCCAGCATTCTGGTCTAATAAGAAGTGACAGCAGGATCACCGTTGCTGTCGGTTCGCAGCCATGACCTTCAATGTCTCCAACCCTATAGTTACGGAGTCTTTTTGACCTGAACCCGGAAGACGAGAGACAGCTACTCTACCTAATCGCTCTATGCAGTACTTCATGCCTTGTCTCCACGTCGTCTGCTGGCCTCCATGTGGCTTTCTCAAGCCTGCAACAGCCACTGCGAATAAGGCGCGTTACGGTAGATGACCGTCGGACATACGCAAAACGTGTCCTAACCAACGGAGCCTACTGAGCTGGATTCGATGAGATAAAGAGATCTTGTTTGATATATTCCCAAACACCCGACGACTTACTTCTAAGTTACTAACCCGCTCACTCCATCCCACTTGGGCCAAACTACGTAAGCATCGATTGTCGAACACTGCTAAAAGACGGATGCCTTCTACCCGCAGGTTCAAGGTTTTACAACCGTACAGCAGAACTAATCGTTCAGTGGCGCAGTATACGCGACTTTTCAACTTCAGTGAAGCGTCACGTCACCGCCACAGGTGTTTCAGTCCTGCGTATGCTGCTCGAGCATGGGAAATGCGGGCGGTTATCTCCTTTGATGCGTTACCGTCGTTGGTCAAGCAGCTACCTAAGTACGAGAAGTAGTCAACTTCAGCTAATTCTTGACCGTCTAGTTTCAGAACAGAACTCGGCAACACCCAGTCTTGCAGCATCACTTTTCACTTAAAAGGTGCAAAGCAGATGCCGAACGGAGCGACAGAACTTGTTAATCTGTCAAGTGCTCTTTGCGCATTCTCTATAGATTCGAACAGGCAAATGATGTCGTCAGCGTACTCCAGATCGCACAGCTTTTCTCCTGCTACCCATTCAATACCTACATTTAGGAGACCACGTAGTGTGTTCTCCAGTATTTCGTCAATGACGAAATTGAATAGGAATGGTGAAAGAGGGCAGCCTTGACGAGCACTGCTGCTAGTTACAAACGACCTACTCAGCTCGCCGTAGACCATTACGCTACCAGAAGTATGCGAGTAGAATGAAACCAGTATATTCACATACTTCTACGGCATTCCTTTGCGAAGGAGCGAACCCATAAGGGAGTCGCGGTCAACCGAGTAGAAGGTTCCTTTTAGGTCAAGGAACACGACAACCGTTGATCAACGGTGCGTATGGCATAGCTCGAGGACTTGACGCAGAGTAAACATTTTATCGATACAGCCGCGACCTGGTCGAAATCCTGCTTGTTGCTCGCGGACATTGGTCTCCCTAAACTACACCAGACGAAATATTCTGGCTAGCTGAACTGTTCGTTGAAGTACTCCGCCCACCGGTCAAACCGTTGTTCCCTATTATGAATAGCTTGTCCACTTTTGTCGCAGATTGTTTCAATAACTGGTTTGCCGACCTCCGGTGTTGCGTATCAGTAGGAACAGCCTTTGACTGCTCCCTGATGCATTTGCAACTTCCATTTCAATAGCTATCGTTGCCCACCAGTTCTCACGGCCTTTCTTCAGGCTCTTCTTGAGTTGACGTTGCAGACGCCACCCAACCCTGCCTTGATCCCGGGCGGTCGGGATTGGCCGCTTTTTCTCCATCAGTTCTACCGACTGATCACATGTTCAGTGCCTCGGGCTGGCTACCGTTTCATATCCCCAAGTAACCTTCGCTGCGGAATGCATTGCTCGCCTAATCTGATCCCACTGATCATCTACACCGACCACCCCGCGGCGCGTTGAGCTCTGAGTTGAGTTCTGATTCAAAACGGGCACGAACGGCTGGGTCAGATAAACTATGATCTGCAAACCGAGTTTGGTGGGGTTTTATGCTACCAGGGAGTTGGAGAGTGAACTGCATCAAACCTAATGCATGATCAGATTTAACGCAGCTGTTCCAATAGGACCTGCAGTTTTGTACTGAGCCACGTGATCGATCTGAGTTAGCGTACCAGTTGAATGTAAGCGCCACGTTGCTGTCCGTTGAGAGCTGTGACGGATGTTGGAGCTGGATAAGAACAGACGATGATCAGCGCAGAAACCGATCGCCATTATCTATTCGCTGTCAGGGCAGAGCACAATGCAGCCTAGGCAAACTTCCGATGTGCTCCGTTTTCCAACTTGAGGGTCGAACTCACCTGCGAAAGCAACTATATCGGAGCTTCGGCTCAACCGAATGACTTCGGCGAGTTTATCATAAAACTCGTCCTTTTGTGCATCACAACTGCACTTGGTCGGTGCATACGCTGAAATGATGAATATGTAAATCAGGTTTGTAGATAAGCATGGTGTCAACGCCACAACAATAATGGGGAGCAGGTGGATTGGGATACGGAACAAAGTGAAAAGATGGAGAAACAGTTGAACAACGAAGAATGGTAGGTAGCTGGTGTTGACTTCACAGGCTATAACGATCCACGTAGAGTGACGCGCAAAAAACCCGGAAGACG